CCCCCCCCCCCTCCGCTTCTATCTTTTATCCTCTATGATCTGTTCTCCACACAGCAGCCAGGGTTTAAAACACAAGACCCCCTGCTTAGAACCCACCAGTGGCTTCTGTCGTATTTTAAATAAAATCCAAACTCCTTCCCACAGCTTTTAGCATCTTTTGTCATCTGACTCTATTGACCTTTTCTCCTACCTCTTTATGCTCCTGTCTGTGTTCCTAACCTTGTTCCTGCCTCAGGGCTTTTGCATCTGCTTTCCCCATATTTTTGCATGATTGGTTCCTTCTCATTATTAACATCGGCTCAAGTTTCCCTTCTCAAGACTTATTCCTTTGCCACCCTGTCTAGAGTTGCTAACCTTCTTTCCATCTTACTCTAGCGACTCCCTATCACTCTGTTTTTTCTGCAGTAATCTTATGTTTTGTCTGAATCCTACCAGAACATAAACTCCATGAGAGGAAGGAGCCTGTAGTTCATGCTTATTGCTGTTTGTTTTATTACTCAGAATACTGTTTGGCAGATTTTAAGAGCTCAGTAAATTACTAATGAAGTTGGAGGATGAAGCTAGTGAACACAAAATCTGTTGATATTATTCAGGGCAAAGAGAACTGGATGGGGAGCCACAAATACAATTTTTTTTTCAATTGAATGCATTTTAATTGAACTGGAAGAAAACTAATAAGGAATGTGTTGCTGAAGCTCCTGGAAAAAAAAGTTCACCTTTCATTTTTGTCCAGACAGTGAGGAGCTGAAGCTGCTGCTGACTTTTTCTCTTTTTCCTGAAGGTACCCATGAGGTTATCCTGGTAACTTCTCTGGTTGGAGGAGGCCTTGGCCTCATCATCCTGCTGGTGGCATATGGTCTCAAAAAACGCGAGTGAGTTTATAGGTAGCAGCATGTGCCCTCAGAATCAGGGATGGAGGGGTGGAAGTGAGTTTATAGGTAGCAGCATGTGCCCTCAGAATCAGGGATGGGGGGGTGGAAGGCATCACGGTGGAAGAGGGCACTCTACCTCTAAGGGTGTTCCTTCATTTATTCATTGATGCATATTTATTGAATTTATTATATGCCATACCCTGTGGCTCACCAGCATTCCAACCAAACAAGATGGCTTTCTCCCCTCACAGCCCCACGTACCAGGCCTGGGCCTTTCTGAGGCCACAGGAATGCCAGTTTTGCCCCAGCAGCTTTATCTGCTGTGCTGGTCACCTGAAACTAGAGCTGGGGAGAAGGTCCTTTCTTTCAGTGTCTACAGGGGTTCCCTGGCCTCAGAGCCACTAGCTTCCCTCCCAGGAGAAGCAGGGGGCTAACTGCATATGCAGGGGTCAGAGGGTAGCCGGTTGCACACCGCGCGCGGACTTACCATTGCTTGTGGTTACAGTGCTGGAGTCTGGCTGCACAGACATGTTCCCCGCCGCCCTGGCTCTGTGGGGATGAAGCATGTCCTCAGGCTCTTGTGCCAGAGAGTCCCATGCTACCCTAAGGGCAAGGGCTTCCTCCCAGGAGTCCTCTCTCTCCAGAATCGCACAATTGTGGGCTTTCTCTGCCAAGCAGCTGGGCTTAGTTGTGGTCAAACTAATATCAACCTCAGTCCCCAACTATAGGTTGTAACCAAGGCACTGGCACAATCTCGTGTGTTTTGTATGTCTTACAAGCTGCCAGGTGACGCTGCTCTTGGTTGGAACCATACTGTAGAATCACTGCAGTAAAGTGTGGGTTTCTTAAAAGGTTTAGAATGTTACTTTTTCTGGGGAGTAAATCTTGAAGAAGTGGCTCTGTAATACTATGATTTCTGGCATTAGGTCCAGGGGCAGGAGCAGGACAGGGTGGGAATAGCTCTGTTTGGGGAAATGTCTCTTCCCATTATGTCCTACAGATGACCTAAAATTTCACCCCACAAACTTCTTTGCTTTCCTAGTTCCTGTCAGGAGGCCAGGAGCTTGCCTTTATTTAACAGGGAGCCATAGAATTTGTTGTGGTGAAGCCCCACTTTTTGGCTTGGCGAAACGGTATGAATAAAAGGCTTCTTGGACTCACTTCCTGTTTTAAAATCTTATCACTTACTAGCAAATTGAAGCACCTATGTTGGCCTGATATCCCCAACCCTGCTGAAAGCAGTATAGCCACGTGGTGTGGAGATGGTCTAAAGGTAAACACTCCTGTTTCTGTTGAGGAAAGCATCAGGTGGGCTGGTTGTGGGAGGCGGACAAAGGTGATGCCGGTGGGGAGGAGGGTGATGGAGATGGGAGGACAGCTGGGCTGCATTGGACTCACATCACGGTAACTAGAGGTTAAAGAGTCCCAGGGAATGGTTGGCAAGGCAGACGGAATCAGCCTTCCTGGAACAACTTTGACCTCATTCTTTGGACAAGAAGAAAGGGCTTCACCAGGCTCACAGGACCCAGTGTGGACCAAGCATGGAATTGGTCCTGTGCAGGTGCCACCAAAGAAAGACACTGGCCCTACACTTAAGAACCTGACTGTCTAATTAGGGAACAAGAGAGAGCTGGCTATAAGCTTTGAGGTCATTTAAGAAGTAGCCAAGAGCAAGTTGGAGACCACCTGGAGGCCCTGGGTGGACGTGGATGTGCATAGCCATCCAGAGGCTGGGACAGGCTGCCTCAAATTGCTTTTCTCAGATTGGGGAAATTTTAGGCAACCTTTCACTGTCAGTAGGGTTTTCTAGTGAATTATCCACAAGTAGAAACCCTCTTTTTTCATAAGTTTTTAAATTGAAAACTGTTTTGAAATTTTTAAGATTTAATTTCTTGGTTAAGTAGAATAAGCTCTTGTTTCAACTCAGAAGTCTTTTTTAAATATGGACATTTAAATTAATTTTGTTTAATTTTTGTTATTCCTGTTCTCTCCTTTATCAGTCATATATCACTCTATTTGCTTCCCTACTTATTAAAAGGAGACTAAATGAATCGCAGGCAGTATTGTCTGATGTTATTGTTTGATTTAAAATGCTTTTTATATAATCTGTAGGTCTGGCCTCTCTAGCAAGCACTTATTAATCACTCTTTGTACACCAGGCATTGAGCTAGGCTCTGGGGATACAAAGATGTCAAAGGCACTGGTCCTACAAGGAGGCCACCTTTGATTTTCTGGTAATGTTGGGCAAGTCATTTGTCCTTATGATTGTTTTCCATCTGTAAGTGTTCTAATTTTCATGCTCCCATGTCAGCTGAATTGTGAGAACATATAACTGGAAAATAGCTAAAGAAGAAATTATTTGAATACAGAATGCTGTTTTTCTGGAAATGAGCCACTCTTGTCAAGCTCCTGGGGAAGGGCATGTAGAGGTGATTGACTACCACTTTTGGTCTTTGAGAGGAATGTGGAGGCTGGTCAAGGGGGTTGGGTATTGGGTGTCCTGAACCTAATGAGCTTTTGGCTACATCATATGTAGCCCCCAAGTGTCCCTTTCTCTTTTCCAGGGTAAGGTAAATCTGGAGAGTGATGTTTCTATGAACGCAGAAGACTGGATTCTGAAATCATGTCCTGTCTCCAGTGACCTTATTGACAAGTTGGTGGTGAACACTGATAATTTTCTGGAAGAGGTTTCCACAGAGGAACTTGAAAAGAGTCAAGAGAACATTTTGGGAGGGAGAAACAATGAATACGTGACCTTGCCCGGTTGTCCTTATTGTCTCCCTGTTTCAAAAGAGATTCCACCCAGGAAGTCCCAGAACCCGTGTTCTGGAATGCTGGAGGGGACCTACTTAAAAGCCAAAGATCAGCCTCTCTCTTCTGCTCAAAATATAGGGCCAGACCATCTCTGTGAGGAAGGAGCACCAAATCCATACTTAAAAAATTTGGTGATAACCAGAGAATTTCTCATGTCTGAAAAATCACCAGACAAATCCAAAGGAGAGTAAATGCCGTCATGGCTTGAGCCCGTGTCTCAGTGTGGACTGTTCCTGCAGAGAGAAGATACCCTGACTTGGCCAGAAGGGCTTCCTTGGCTGTCTCCCACCCTGCTTGTGTGAGAGACAGTCTTGCACACCCTCGAGTGGCCAGCTGACTGGGTGGGCACAAACTGTAAGTTGCCTGAGAAGAAGGGCCAGTGAGAAGTCTGAGGCTTTGCGGATGAAAAGCAGTTTCTTTTGTTCAGATACCAAGTTCTCCCTGAGGCCCCTGACAGTGGGCCCCGGAGGCATGTTAATCTGGCCCTCCCTGGGACTCAGGCCACTGTCACACCTTCGCTGGGACGACCCTCCAAAGTCCCAGGAGAGACTTTCCCCCGGAGCGAGACACCTCGGCCGCTCCTGGGCTCCAGGCCCCACCTCCAAGGCCGCCCTGGAATCTCTCTTCAGGCTCTGTTTCTCCGTCAGCATAAGGGCAGGGGACGTGGAGTGGCCTCCCCGGCTGCGAGCCTGCGGTTCCTCGGTACCCTCTTTAAACCTCGAGAGCGTGCGGCCGCACCCCTGCCCAGGACTGAAGCACCTCGGCGGCCACGAGGGAGGGAGGACTTCAGCTGGCGCGGGGCGGGGGCATGGGCTCGGGGCGGGGCCGGCAGGTCTGCCCCACCCCCCGGGCCTCTGCCCCGCCCTGGAAACAGAAACGGGACGCCTCCGTGGGCTGTCGCGCCTTCGCGCCCAGGGCTAGGCTTGGGAAGGCCCCAAACACTGCAGTGGCTTTTGTGCAGGGAATCTGGCCCCCCACGTTGGCTCAGAGCCCAGGAACGCTTACTGAACAAACTCGTCAAAGGCCTCTTCCCAGAAGCTGCTGAGCAGGATGAGGGGACATGCAGTGTTTGCGATTTTTGCTGCTCTGCCACCAGGACTTCTCTGCCTTTGCCCAGCTGAGCACAAAGCCTGTGACAATTAATGGAACATTTATCCCAAGTGCTGATGGCAGGATGGTACTGGGCTCGTACCCTGGCCAGTGACATCAGAAGACTTGCTAACGTGACTGTGACTCATCTGGCCACAGGGTGGGCAGGTTACTGAGGGCCCGGGAGGACGATGGGAGGCCAGGCAATGAGTGAGCATCTAAGGTGAGCGTTTGCAGCCAGTAAGGCTGATGGTATTTTTTTTTATAAGAGAGCTGGAGGAGTTAGTACTTGTGTAGTAGACAGGACACTTCATCACTGTACTTTCCTATAACTGAAACTAATTTCTAGCCCAAGCCTCTGACATTCTGATGTAACTGCAGCCCAGTTTGGTATTTCTGAGTCCCTTTGCATTTGTAACTCAGTCACATAGGGCTTCTGACCCCCACAGCCCGGGACTGATTCTGAGCACCAGAGGATGTGGTTTTGTGTCTCACATGGTGTCTGCCCAGCGCTGGTCTTGGGATGTGCCTGCGGTCCTACCTGCCCCTGTGTGTCTCCTGTCATCTCCCTTGGCCGGTCGCTGCACCCTTATCATGGTCACAGCGGGTGCTGCTCTCCCAAAGCTCCCTCCTCCTCAGATCCCAAGTGTCTGTGGTGCCCCCTGTCCCCAAATTCCTCACACCTCCTTTACAGCACAGTGAAGGGAAAAAGGGAGCCGTGTGCAGGCATGGGGATCTGCCCTTTGTCCTAGGAGTAGACAGGGACCAACCGAAGGGATGGGCCACGTTCCTGGCTGCGATAGGCTCTCTCTGCCGTGATACCTCTGCCCTCCACCTGTGAACTGTTGAGCTTGGGCACTTTTCTGAGTGCTGTGACCGCGAAGTTCCAGATGGACCCTTTCCACCCCTGCCTTTGGATTTGTGAATTTCTAGGGAAGTTCTAGTCTTGTACTCCATAACTGTTCTCTCTTTCCTGTGACCCTCTACCCGCCTCCAGCCGAGGTGGTGGGGATGGGGCCTGGGATAAGCCTCCTGATCCTGTCTGTCTGAGGCTTCTGAACCTAAAATCCAAGACGTTGATGGCTGGGGACAGAAAAGGGGTCCCACATGGCTCCTCTGCATGGGTTTCAGAGGTGCAGCCGGTTCCCTCTGTTGTCCCTCCCGACGTGGTTCGTTAAGGCCCAGAGCATCTCTGGTGAGCAGTCTGTGAACACCACACTCTTGGCTGGCCCTCTGTTTCATTTCTTCTCCCCATTTCTCACTTTCCTTCTTGCCTGTACCTTCTTTTTTTCCACCACTCCCAGCAGCTTCTCCTATTTTTAACTCGTACTCTTTTCCTCTTTTCTTGTTTCTTTTCTTCTTTCCCTCCCCATCAGCCTCCTTTGTCATTTTCCATATTTTGCCTTTGCTACCTTTGAGGTCTAGGAAAATTGGGCTTTTTGTTTTGTTCTAGAAGGCCTGAGGCAGTTTATAGGAGTCAGCGTTTCTTGCCAGTAAGAGGAGCAATTTCCCAGGAACCCCGGCCTCCCATTTAGTGGGCCACACACTCTGCTCTCCAGAGCAGATTCACAGGACACAGACCACTGGTGCCCTTCCTCTTCTGGGATCAAGTCATGAACTGTCCCCACTCACACTGTGGCCAGGAAGGCCATCTGTGTTTTCTCTGTTACTGTCAAAGAAATATTGAGAGGACACAAACAGGAAAACTTGTGTTTTAGCAAGGTCATTAAAAACTGATAAAATTCCTGTTAAGAGTTTTCTGGGGCTCTGGGAACCATGCAAACAGCTATGTCGGTGTCCTATTAATGGCCTTTATAAGCAGTAATGTCAGAAAAATTTAAAAGAATGGCAATGAACCAACAGGCACATGAAAAAATGCTCCACATCACTAATTATCAGGGAAATGCAAATTAAAACCACAATGAGGTATGACCTGACACCAGTTAGGATGGCCAACATCCAAAAGACTAGGAAAAACAAATGCTGGCGAGGATGAGGAGAAAGGGGAACCCTCCTACACTGCTGGTGGGAATGTAAGCTAGTTCAGCCATTGTGGAAAGCAGTATGGAGATTCCTTAAAAACCTAAAATTAGAAATACCATTTGACCCAGGAATCCCACTCCTAGGAATTTACCCAAAGGGAAGTAGAATCTCAGATTCAAAAAGACATCTGCACCCCTATGTTTATCACAGCACTATTTACAATAGCCAAGATATGGAAGCAACCTAAGTGTCCATCAGTAGATGAATGGATAAAGAAGAGGTGGTACANACACACAATGGAATACTATTCAGCCATAAGGAAGAAACAAATCCTACCATTTACAACAACATGGATGGAGCTGGAGGACATTATGCTCAGTGAAATAAGCCAGGCAGAGAAAGACAAATGCCAAATGATTTCCCTCATTTGTGGAGTATAACAATGAAGCAAAACTGAAGGAACAAAATAGCAGCAGACTTACAGACTCCAAGAATGAACTAGTGGTTACCAAAGGGAAGGGGTGTGGGATGGTGGGAGGGAGGGGGAAGGGGATTGGGGAGTATCATGATTAGTACATATGGTGTGGAGGGGGAATCATGGGGAGAACAGTGCAGCACAGAGAAGACAAGTAGTAACCTTGTGGCATCTTACTATACTGATGGACAGTGACTGCAGTGGGGTATGGGGGACTTGATAATATGGGTGAATGTAGTAACTACAATGTTTTTCACGGGAAACCTTCATAAGAGTGTATATCAGTGATACCTTAATAATAATTTAAAAAAAAGAATGGCAGTGAAAACAGTCTGTGGTTCAAAAAAAAAACAGTGATCCTTCATTTTAGTTTCTCAGGAAGCAGCAGACACACAGTATATCACAATGCGTGTAGGGGCGGTTGACAGAAGCAGGGGGATGGGGAGAGGGGAGAAAGGAGGGGCGGCCTGACGGGTCCCAGTGACCCTGCAGCTGCAAATCACCTGTGGGTGCAAAGCCCTTGCCAGCCACCCCAAGGGGTTCTGCCCCTTCCTGGCACCCCATTACTGCTGCAGCAGGCGTGCTCGGGCCCAGGGGTTGGCAAACTAGCCTGAGGGCCAGATCTGGGCCTTGTTTCTATAGAGCCCCTGAGTCAAACATGATGTTGACATTTCTAAAGGCTAGAAAACAAAAATCAAAGGAAGAATGATATTTAATGATGTGAACACTGTATAGAATTCAGATTTCAGTGTCCATAAATGAAGCTCAGTTGGAATGCATCTGTACCCATCATTTACATATCATCTGCTCCACTGTAAAGGCAGCACTGAGTAGCTGTGACAGTCTCTCCCACAAAGCCGAACTGTTCGCCATCTGGCCCTTTACAGAAAACCTTTGCTGACCCTCTATAACCCACAGACATGGGGCTCAGACTGTACCATATCGATCCAAAGTGTTTTAGCTTTAAATTAGCCGCTAATTGAAAAAACAATCAGGCTCTGTCATTCTGGGTTTCTAGCTGAACAGGGAGTGGCCCCTGCACAGGTACCCTGCAGCACCCTCCAGCTGCCCTGGCACTCACGACTCAATGTCCCCTGTTTATAGCTAAGGAGGGAAATTGGCGGCTGTTTATCACTTACTCCAGTGCTTCTCGACCCTGGGGCCATTTTGCGCCCCCATCCTCCAGCCCTCAGACATTTCACAAGGCCATGAGATATTTTGGGAGGCTGCTGCCGGCATCTAGTGGGTAGAAGCCAGCAATGTTGGCAGTCATCCCACAGTGCATAGAACAGCCCCCACAACAAAGAATTATCTGGCCCCAAATGTCGGTAGTGCTGCACTTGAGAAATCCTGGCGGAGCTAACCTCTGCCTGTGGACACACAGTACCTCGCCATAGGGGCTACTTGGTGTCCATGGATAGCTCTACGTGTCCCCCCGCTTTTTTTTTGGTAAGTTTAAAATTTGTTTTGGACTTGACTTTACAACAACCATAACAGCAAAAATCACTAAATACAGATTAATTGTATAATTCTTAATTCACTCTCGAGATGATCTGTGTGTACTTTATATATGTTTTCATCTCATTGCAAGTTATATATTGATTTTATTGCATTCTCCCTTTACTTTCATTTATTTCATGTGTAAAATTCCACTTATGGGCATAGTTCACAGCAGTAGTGTTTTGAAGGGCCACTCAGAACTCCACAGTGTGCCTGCATAGTGCTATTTGCTAAGGCGCTCCTAGTTGGTAGCATTTGTTTAAACGTCCTCCTCCTATGTGGGCAACATCAATAAACATTGCTGTACTTTTTCTTTTCCTGTCTTTATCCTAACTCTTTGGAGCTC